AATTCAATAGTTAGATAAAAATGTATATAAATATCAACTACAATACCAAAACTTGTAGTTGGAGCAACAGTAGTCAATAATTCTGTTGTCAGTGAATCAGTAGACAAAGAAAGTGTTGTTGGAACTGAAGTAGTAGATGATTCTGTTGTTGGAACTTCAGTTGTTGACGCATCTGTGGTAGGTGCAAAAGTAGTAGATGATTTAGTTGTCAATGTATCAGTAGTAGATGATCCTGTTGTTGGTGCATCGGTAGTGGATGATTCTGTTGTTTGTATTTCAGTAGTTGATGCTGCTGTAGTTGGTTCATCAGTCGTAGATGATTCGGTTGTTGGTACTTCAGTTGTCGATGCCTCTGTAGTTGGTGCATCAGTAGTAGATGATTCTGTTGTTAGTGCGTCGGTAGTGGATGGTTCTGTTGTTTGTACTTCAGTAGTTGATGCTGCTGTAGTCGCTTTATCAGTCGTAGAAGATTTGGTTGTTGGTACTTCAGTTGTCGAAGCCTCTGTAGTTGGTGCATTAGTAGTAGATGATTCTGTTGTTGGTGCATCAGTAGTAGATGACTTAGTAGTAGGTGCATCAGTAGTAGATGATTCCGTTGTAGGTGCATCAGTAGTAGATGATTCTGTTGTTAGTGCGTCGGTAGTGGATGGTTCTGTTGTTTGTACTTCAGTAGTTGATGCTGCTGTAGTCGGTTTATCAGTCGTAGAAGATTCGGTTGTTGGTACTTTAGTTGTCGATGCCTCTGTAGTTGGTATATCAGTAGTAGATGATTCGGTTGTTGGTGCATTAGTAGTAGATGATTCTGTTGTTGGTGCGTCGGTAGTGGATGGTTCTGTTGTTTGTATTTCAGTAGTTGATGCTGCTGTAGTTGGTTCCTCAGTCGTAGATGATTCCGTTGTTGGTACTTCAGTTGGCGATGCCTCTGTAGTTGGTGCATCAGTAGTAGATGATTCTGTTGTTGGTGCGTTGGGAGTAGATGATTCGGTTGTTGGTGCATCAGTAGTAGATGATTCTGTTGTTAGTGCATCAGTAGTAGATGACTCAGTTGTTGGTACTTCAGTTGTCGATGCCTCTGTAGTTGGTGCATCAGTAGTAGATGATTCTGTCGTTGGTGCACCAGTAGTAGATGATTCTGTTGTTAATGTGTCGGTAGTGGATGGTTCTGTTGTTTGTACTTCAGTAGTTAGTGCTGCTGTAGTCGGTTTATCAGTCGTAGAAGATTTGGTTGTTGGTACTTCAGTTGTCGAAGCCTCTGTAGTTGGTGCATTAGTAGTAGATGATTCTGTTGTTGGTGCATCAGTAGTAGATGATTTTGTTGTTAGTGCATCAGTAGTAGATGACTCAGTTGTTGGTACTTCAGTTGTCGATGCCTCTGTAGTTGGTGCATCAGTAGTAGATGATTCTGTTGTTGGTGCATCAGTAGTAGATGATTCTGTTGTTAGTGCATCAGTAGTAGATGACTCAGTTGTTGGTACTTCAGTAGTAGATGACTCAGTAGTAGGTGCATCAGTAGTAGATGATTCGGTTGTAGGTGCATCAGTAGTAAATGATTCTGTTGTTAGTGCGTCGGTAGTGGATGGTTCTGTTGTTTGTACTTCAGTAGTTGATGCTGCTGTAGTCGCTTTATCAGTAGTAGAAGATTTGGTTGTTGGTACTTCAGTTGTCGAAGCCTCTGTAGTTGGTGCATTAGTAGTAGA